CTGCTTATGCAGGGGGTCGGACTCGATGATCTATTGAGGTCCCTTCTGACCCTAACATCTATGAATCTATGGAAGGTAGTGCCAGAAAATATGTAACAGCTTTTTGGATGGTTTCTATACAGTTTTAATTTGGAGGTGTGGCAGGGTCCTTAGGTTTCTCTATTTAACCCCCTTCACCCACCACTACTTATAGATAAACCTAATCCAGGCAGGAGAACCCTCTGTGCTTGCAGCCATCTCCTGGTCTGGCTCCACACATGCTTCCTAGAAGCAGAGGCATGCAGGGTATTTTCACCTTACTGTGGGAGTGGTGGCAGCAGCATCTGTGGCCACAATCCACTGGCAAGGGTCTCGCGGCACTCCAGGGTTGAGAGCCACTGCTTTAGAGGACTGTCACGTGCATCTCTGGCTCTCTGTAGACTCGGGCAGCATTGTTACTCCTGCGTTCTGAGCTTCTCCCCCTCCTTTCACATCAACCTTCTTCCCTGCAGCCCCTTCTCTCTGCCGTCCTGACAAGCACCGTACTTGGAATACAATTCCTTTTTGCCATCCAAGGGCATAGGTTAAATGCCCTTCCTCGTTCCTTTCACTAGACAAGTGGCTCTGGCACATTTAGAATAATAGAAAAATCATAGAATCATAGAAAATTAGGTTTGGAAGGAACCTCAGGAGGTCACATCTAGTCCAACCGCCTGCTCCAAGCAGGACCAGCCCCAACTAGATCATCCCAGCCAAGGTTTTGTCTAGCTGGGTCTTAAAAACCTCCAAGGATGGAGAGTCTACAATATCTCTGGGTAACCTGTTCCAGTGTTTTACTACCCTCCTTATGAGAAAATTCTTCCCAATATCTAACCTAAACCTCCCTTGCTGCAACTTGAGCCCATTGCTCCTTGTTCTGTCACCTGCCCCCACTGAGAACAGTCCAGCTCCATCCTGTTTGGAACCCTGCTTCAGGTAGTTGAAGGCTGCTATTAAATCCCCACTCAGTCTTCTCTTCTCTGGACTAGACAAGCCCAGTTCCCTCAGTCTTTCCTCATAAATCTTGTGCCCCAGCCCCCAAACCATTTTCACTGCCCTCCACTGGACTCTTTTCAATTTGTCCACATCCTCTCCAGTCTGTCCACATCATTTCAGGGCATTAAACTGTCTGAAGTATCAGGATCCCAAGGGAATTCCTACAATCCACAGTGTCAAAAATGTTTTGACTTGTGGGTTCTTTGCAACAGAAGAATTGCTCTCTTATTTTTCCATAGTCAAAAAATGAATGAAAGCTAAGAGCTGGGATTTTCTGAGAAACACCTGGAGTCTAATGAGAGCTGTACTCAGTATAAGAAGTTTGATAGCTGTTGAATTAAGGTAGCAGACTGTTAGTACAATGTGTTCTTTGTGCATGGGTTCAAGTCTCATCCTTACCATGTGTTTCTTCTCTCAAGTCCATATGGCGACTGGATTTGATTTACTTGCTTTGTCTATACCAAGGTAGAGGTTCTGTCCTCCAAACATCCCTTGTCTTGCCAAAATAGTTTTGGGATCTACCTTTACTGGAAGGCCTTATTGCTCTTTCTGCCTTGCTGAGACTCCGAATGGTATTCAGGAGGTGGTGCCCCTTCCCTTACATGGGCATGGCTGAGGGGACTGGGTGGAAACATCGCATTCTGAGTACCTAGGACAGTTTCTAGGCAGAATTAAGGTTCAGCTTTAATTATCCTTTCCTTTTCCTCCTCGGGCAGGTGGAAAGAGTACAGCCCTGGGATACCATGGTGCGCCAACGTTGACAGTATTATGACAACTGAGTTCAATCTCCAATACTCATTTCCCAAGGCTGCTGCTTTCTATGCGCGTGGAGGTGCAGCGTAAGTGTCAGGACGTGGGTGACGTCTTCCAGTTGCCATGCATACCACATTTTCTTGCATACAACACTCACTTTTTCCCCGCATAGCAGCCACTGGGAATTGGCGTAATCATTATATTTGAAAAATATGGTAAGAGCAGTATCTGCTGCTTACTGGGCAAAAGTGAAAGTAAAATTTGCAAGCATCCATGGAGAGCAATGCATACCATATTTTCTTGCATACAACACTCACTTCTTTTCCAAATACCGGCTGCTAGGAATTGGAGTGCTCATTATATGTGAGAAATATGGTAAGTGGAAGTAAAGTCTTCAAGGATCCAGTGGGGAGAAAAACAATAATCAGGTGCTGACTGGTCACCTTGCTGCTGTTACTTAGTTACTTACACCAAGGAAAGATCTTTACCCCCCCTGCTTCATTTTGCCTTTCAAAAACAAGGTATGTATCTTATTCCAGGGAATGTTGTGTGGGAGAAAATGCAGTGTATATATCATAGAATCATAGAAAATGAGGGTTGGAAGGGACCTCAGGAGGTCATCTCATCCAACCCACTGCAAGACCAGCCCCAACTAGATCTATCTAGACACATCTCAAAACAACCTCCAAGTATGGAGAGTTCACAACCTCTCTGGGTAACCTATTCCAGTGTTTTACTACCCTCCTAGTGGGAAAGTTCTTCCTAATATTTAACCTCAACTTCCCTTGCTGCAACTTGAGACTATTGTTCCTCATTCTGTCATCTGCCACCACTGAGAACAGTCTAGCTCCATCCTCTGTTGTACTTTCTAGAGTTGAAGCCTGCTATTAAATCCCCTCTCAGTCTTTTCTTCTTCAGACTAAAGCCCAGTTCCTTCAGCCTCTCCTCATAAGTCACGTGCCCCAGCCTCCCAACCATTTTTCTTGCCCTCTACTGGACTCTCCAAGTTGTCTACATCCTTTCTGTGGTGGGGTTCCCAAAAATGTCCACAGGACTCTAGTTGTGGCCTCACCAGTGCTGAATAGAGGGGAAGAACCATTTCCCTCAATCTTCTGGCAATGCCGTCGGGTGGCAGGTAGACAAGCCCTTTGACTATGACTTTCCTGTGCACGTGGGTCTTATTCCATGTTAAAGGGCTTTCCCCCCCAAGATCCTCTAAATTGTATCCCCTTCTAAGCCCCTCAAACAAGTGACTTTGAGTAAGAGATGATGGAAATTATTGGATCAAACTTTCTCCCATGAAAAGAGTGGATTTGCCAAAAAAATAAAGGTTTTGCTGTAGTTAGAGAGGCTCATATGAGCCTAGCTAATTAGCCAGCTAGCTGGAGATAGAGCTAAAGAAGATTTATGGGAAAAGACAGAATAGATGGGAGATTGTGGGGATGGATGAACAGATGATGCATGTATTGACATAGTGTCACAGGGGTTCTGAACTGGTGTCCTGTTCTACAGGGCATTTGAGTCCAAGTTGAAGGGCTACCTGGAGTGTCCGTACTCTTGGAAGAAGCTAGAGGACATCCAGAAGATTTTTAGTTTCTATCAGAACAACGTCTCTGGTAGGTGCCACCCCACAGACCCCAGTGGGTGGCTGAGAGTCATGCCCAGAGCAAGGTCCCCACAGCTGTGCAGGGGGGGTCTTCTGGGAAATCTTTGACCATCCACTTCTTTCAGTTCTTACTGCCAGGGACCTGGGCCTTTTGCTTATCTCACTGCAGCCCTCCATGTACCTTGTTCACCATGCTAGCTTCAGCCTGGGCTTATTTTCAGGACTGCAGCTTGAGGCTGGGTGGCCATTGATGCATGGTACCAGTGTTAAAAGGGAGGGAGAAGTGAGCTGAATCATCACCTTCCCTCTGGTCTAACCCACTAGACCAGTGGTAGGCAAATGCTGGCATGGGTGCCAGAGTGTGGCACATGATGGCATTTTGCTTGCATGCACACCTTAGGGCAGATGGCGGGGAAGGGGCTGAGGCTGAGCTGCCACAATATGAATCGGGCCCTACTCAGCTCCCCTGCTGTCTGCCTTTGGCACACCATCTTACAAATTGAGATTGTGGGATTTTTGGGTACTTTGCTCAAAAACATTGCTGACCCTGCACTAGACCTCACACCCTTCCCAGCACCAGGGATAGAAGCCAGGAGTCCTGCAGTCTCCTCTAAACTCCAAGATTTTCTACTGTGGTAGAGCAATGGGTTGTTACTTAAAGATTGTCATGTGTCTGTGTCCACAGAGTATGTGGCCAAGCACTGGAAGGAAGATGCTTTCTTTGGGTACCAGTTTCTGAATGGGGTGAACCCCATAGTGATCCAGAAATGTACAAAACTCCCAGAGAACTTCCCAGTGACCCAGGAGATGGTGGCCATATCCCTGGGGAAGGCCACAAACCTCTCCAAGGAACTTCAGGTAAAAGAGGACCTTCTGCCACTCAACTCCTGGCTGGTACTCCACTCACTTCTGAGGAAGATTGCCCTTTGAGAAGAGGACCCTTCCCAGCCTCACCTTTCTGCTTATGCTTGGCTGCTTCTGGGGATGGCAGCCTGCCTGCACTGCTGATCCTGTCCTACTGACCTTAATGCTTCTTGGTGAGACCTTGGCCTTTTGCACCCTACCCTAAATTATTTGGAATACAGCTGTGGTCTAAGTGTTCTCCACCAGGCCCCACACCAAGAAGTGGCTACACCTCAGTGATGGGTGAGGGAACCCTACCTAAGAAGTGGCTATTTCTCAGCACTAAGTGAAGGATGTCAGAATAAACACATACCTGGTATTTACTCATGACCACATGTACCTCCCTCCACAAAATTATCCCTCCAAAAGTGTGTGCATGAAGGGGTGTCTTATAAGACACATTGTGCTCTTCATGCATGGATTCAAGTCCCATCCTTGTCATGTCTTCCTCCTTGAAAATCCATATGGCAGCTGGATTTGATTTGCTTGGTTTGTCTATGCCAAGGTGGAGGTTTTGTCCCTGCAAGCCTGGGTTCAAGTCCCATCTTCTCTTTTAAGACAGAATCATAGAAAATTAGGGTTGGAAGGGACCTCAGGAGGTCACATCTAGTCCAACCCCCTGCTCAAAGTAGGACCATGCCCAACTATATCATCCCAGCCAAGGCTTTGTCTTGCTGGGTCTTAAAAACCTCCAAGGATAGAGATGATTTTTCTTCACTGGAATAGAAGCATGGAGATGCTCTGTTCTAATGGTTGCCCAAATGGCTCCCATGTTTCTCCAGTCCTGCAGATAGAAGGGCCAAAGCCAATGATAATCCTTTCACAGCTGCTAAGTCAGTTGTAGTAGCTATTGGCTGAGTCCTGTAGCTTGTGCCTGAAGCAGCAAATGAGCTGGCTCAGGGCATGTCCATAGTGTCTTGATGTGGTTTGTGGTGTGGAAACAACTTATACAAAGAACTATTTACAGTAAAGACCTAACAGTCCTGACACTGCCCTGGCAAAGGTCTGGGGCCCTGCTACCTCACCCATGCTGTCTCCTGGGATAGAATGCTTCCTGGACACTGTGTTTCCAGGAGGACTTTCTCTATGTCACACAGGCGGCTATGACCCTGGAAAAATCTTCCCCCCACCCCCCTCTACATTCTGCCTTGAAAACCAAAGCACGAGTTTTATAAGAGGTGTGTGGTTGGCAAGAAAATATGGTAAAGTCACAAATACATCCATTTCTATGACTGCTTGAACAGCTGCCCTGACCCCAGCAGCAGCTTCATTTCCAAATGACATGAAGGAGTCCTGTTTAAACAGCCACCATGTCCTCAGCTCCATCTCAGCACCAGGAATGGGATCCCTGGATAAACACCTGTCCACTCCCTAGAGGTTGCTTCCTCTCAGCATTGGGCCAGGATTTCCAGAAGTAGCTGCACCACAGCTCTGGGGAGGGGTCCCTAAGCCAGATTTAGCCAACCAAGGGAAAAAATCTGATCTGCAGCTGGTCACTCAGCCCCACCTAGCCCAGGCATGGGGGGGCAGCCCAGGCTGTGGTGCAAGTGACTGGTCCTGCCTCTCCTGGGCATATGGTGGTGTGGGGAGTGGGGGCATGGTGGCCAGACACAACTTCCCTGCTGCCCCTGTGGTGGCAGGACATTTTACCCAGCTGCCACTGCCGGTTTTCTGTACACCCACTGCCAAGAGTGCTGAAGGGAACAGGCAGGTGGGGTCTCCATGGACTCCCTCGGGATCCCTATTGACAGGGTGTGCTGAGCCAGACAGGTGGGATGGGGCTGCGGATGGGTGGGAAGTGGCATTTGGCAGCAAGACAGGAAGGTGGGGCCAGGATCACAGATGGTGACAGAGGAGGTCTGGGGCTCAGGGCAGATCTGCGATCTGCTCCCCATATGTCCCTGCTTGTGGAACTGGCACCCACCACAGGGATGTGCTCTGCCCTGGGTTATGGCTTTGCCCTGGGCCCCAGCCCCATGCTGTCACTGCCCTCTGATCTGGGCCCTGCCCACTTGTCCTGCTTCTGGCCCATGGCTCCATCCCAACCACCCAGCCAAGGGTGCCCTGCCTGCAAGGGGTCCCAGCTGGTCTCCAGGGAGATCCTGCCTGCCCACCTGCTCTGTCCACTGCCCCTGCTGGTGGGTGCGAGGTGGACAGGTTGCATAGGATCAATTACCCGCCCCCAGCCCATGACAGCTCACCAAAACTCCTTACGTGGCCCTCCAGCCCCCAAAATTGCCCACCTCTGCCCTACGCAATGCTGTGTACTGCTGAGATCCTGTTGTGAGGAACCTCATGGTGCAGATGGGTGGGGCACTGACTTTGCCTTTCTCTGCTTTTCAGAATGGGACCATCTACCTTGCCAACTACAAGATCTTGGAGGGCATCAGCACCACTAAAGTGAATGAACAGCAGCAGTACATCGCCGCACCTTTGTGCCTGCTACACCAGAAACCCAGTGGGGAGGTCATTCCCTTAGCCATCCAGGTGATGAGTTTTTCTGTGCTCCGTTGTGCACATGAACCTCCATCCTTGAGCCTCCCCACTTGGACAAGTCTCCAAGGAATTTTCTATGATTCTATTCAGTAGAAAGGGTGGGAGGGGGGAACCCGAAAAGCCCAGAACCTGAAAAGCCCCTAGTAGTTATGCCTATGTCATCCCCAACCAGAGGCTGTCCAATCTCTTCTTGAACACCTCCAGTGATGGAGACTCCACACCGTTCCTAAGCAGTCTATTCCATGGCTTCAGTGCTTTAACAGTGAAGAAGTTTTTCCTGATATACAACTTACATATACTTTGCTGAATATGAAGGAGGGATTTAGGCTTGAGCAACCCATTGGCCTGACCTGGGGGATGTATGTGGCTGTAGGTCTAATGTAGGATTAGGGGCAGGAGAACAGGCCAGATGGATCCATGGGTCCAAAGCCAGAATAGGAGAAGAGAGGGACACTGGGCTGCATGGCCGTGTAGGTTGGATCCAGGATTTGGGAAGGGGAAGAAGACACACCAGGCCTTTTGGCCTAACCAGAAGCAGAAGTTTTCACCACTTTTAAAGCTAGCTGCAAGGACAGGCTCATTTTCATGGTGATTCCCATGATCCATCAGGGTGCAATGTCCTTCCTGGTTCGAGGGATCTCGGCACAGCAGCAAACTTCTCTTCTCTACCTTCCCCCTACCTCCAGCTAAGCCAACACCCAGGCCCCGACAGCCCCATCTTCCTGCCCAGTGACCCTGAGTGGCTCTGGACTCTGGCCAAGACCTGGGTGAGAAACGCTGAGTTCCATGTCCATGAAGGCGTGACCCACCTCCTCTGTGGCCACCTCATCCCTGAAGTCTTTGCCGTGGCTACGCTGCGACTTCTGCCCATGTGCCATCCACTGTACAAGGTGAGGTCTGGGCATGGGAGGGGCCAGCAATCCTGGGTCCTCCTGGGGCATCTGTGGGCTGCCTCCAGGTGGGGGTCATTCTCTGTTAGGCACTTTGCCCAGATGGGGATGCTCCCTGACATGGGGCATTTCAGCCCAGCCCTGGAGGTGGATGTTCAGCATGTGGACTAAGCATGGCCAACTGTGTGTGTTCCCTGCATGCTGTGTCCCAGATGTGGGTTGTCTCCAGATGTGCTCATTGAGGGAGGAGAGGGACAGGTGTCCCAGTTGTATCTAAATGTGAAGGAATATCTCAGATGTACACACCTGTGCTCATCCTTCCAATGTCCCCATAAGTGTGAGTGTCTCCAAGGGTCTCATGTACCTATCCACGTATGTCCACATGGGGCTTGCCCTGAGGACTCAGCTGTATATACATGTGTGTGTTCTGGATGTACTCAGCTCAACACAGCTTTGTGAGTGTTAGAGATTTCCAGGTGTGTGTGTGTACACATGTGTGCACATGCGTTTGTGTTAGAGAGAGTGGGGGGAGAAAGAGAAAGAATTCCAGAAGTGTCAGCTGTTCACATATATCCATGAATCAGAGAGGATGGTCCATGCTCTCCACCTAGTCATTATGGCAGGGAGAAAGGATCATTTCCTTTGCCCCACAGCCTTCCCCTCTCACCTTCTTTTTTCCAGCTCCTGACCCCTCACATGCGCTACAGCATCCACATTACCATCCAGGCCAGGACCCTTCTCCTCAGCCCAAGAGGTGTGTTTGATCTGGTAAGAAGGGACCCTTCGACCATTGTCCCAATGTCTCTGTTTGTAGGTTTCAATGCTCCTCTCCTCATTAACACATGGAGGAACTGAGGCACAGAAAGGGAAAGTGACTTCCCCAAGGTCACCTAGCCAGCTAGTGGCAAAGCTGGGTAGAAAATTCAGGTGTCCTGCTTGCTTATAGTCCAGTGGGCTCTCCACTAACTTGACCAGACAGAGGAGGAAATAACTAACTCTGTTTTAATTCAGAGTTAATTAAAACCCATCCCAAACTCCACCCATAGAGCCTCGCTATCATTCAGTAGCTCCACTCTGCAGCTTTGCTCCCAACAGGGAGAGGCAGACCGCTCAGCTGATCATGTGCAAGGAAGATTTGCCTCTTCAAAGTGGGCTTGTGTTGCCTGAAAAGCAAGTGAATCACCTTATGCGAATGGCCCAAACCGTGTGAACGGGCCTGGCTGGAAGGCTCGTGGCATTTGGATAGAAAATTTACATTGAAAAAGTTATCTACGTTTTTGAATGAAAAAGACCTGCTCTTGGCAACCTTTTGGCATTTCTTCAGGGCAGTTTTTTGGGGGTTAATTTTTATCTGCTCTATTCTTTCCTTATTTCCCTGCCACTTTTTTCTCCTGCTGCTTCAGCTCATTTCCTCTTCCTTTTTGCTGATTCTCAGTAGTGTGATTCAGATGGGGCAACCAGGGCAGCAACTCCAGGTGCCAGCTTAGAGAAAGGTGGAAAAGCCACGGCTGCTACTGTGGCCACATTGACAGCACTTGCCAATCAGGAGTTACCATTGCCCCAAGTGCTCCACTGCCCCGTTACATCTCTGCTGGTTTTTGTTTTCCATTTTCTCCTTTTTCATGTTCCTCCCAGGGTTTTGTTCTACTTTCTTAGCTTTTTTGTTTTGTTTATCATTTTTATAGTTCTTCCTTATTCATGTTAGGGGTCAACTGGGATATGGGCAGTCATGGCTTGATAGTAGAGCTTCATGTGTTCTGTTGAGTAACCTCAGGGATACTGAAAGATCAGGTGCTTCTTATATCCAGGCACCTACCCCCATGCGCTAAACTAGGGGTACTTAGGCCATTGCAGTGAGGCCAACTCCAATAATCGGGACCACTTGGAGGCTAAATCCTGCCTGCTTCCTGCCCCACATCTCTTTCTTTTCCCTGTCACTTTCTTCCTCACCTCCCCTTCCCCCTCCCCAGTTTCCCCCTTTGTCTTTGGACTTTTTACATTTATGCCATGTTTTTCTTCATGAATACCATGCCATTAACAGGGCATGCCTACGCTTGCTTTTACGCGCTGCTAAACTTAATGCACGTTATCCTAATGCACATTAAGGCAATTTAGGTGCATGCACTATTAACCTTTAAGCAAGTGTGCGAACTGACTTGGGACTATAGTCCTAAGTCAATCGACACACACTGCGTTAATGCACATTAGCACGTCTATGCCTTCACTAATATGATTTAGCTATTTGAGCATTAATTTAATACCTGCTTTATGCAGGTATCAGATTTAGGCATGAATAACTTTAAATTGCCATTTTTAAGGTGCATTGTGTGTACATGTGTAGACATGAGCCTTTAATGCAATTTAAATTGGGCTAATGTGCATTAAACTTTCAACACTTTGCTCTCCCCACACCCCACCATCACCCAACCCTTTTCCCTCTGAGATAGGGCAATGACGACCTGACTTTTGGGGGCATGTGCTCTGTTTCACAGGCCATAGCAACAGGGCGTGTGGGGCTGGTCGAGGTCTTGAGTAAGGCTCTGAAGAGTATTTCTTACACCACGCTGTGCCTCCCTGATAACCTTAAGGCCCGTGGGGTTGAGAACCTCAAGAACTACTATTTCAGAGATGATGCACTGAAGATCTGGGAGGCTGTGGAGAGGTGAGAGAAGGAGGGAGTGCTGTGTATGTGGAGGGGAAAGGGGATAGATAGGACTGTCAGTGCTGGGGTAGGGGACATCAGGCATTCAGTGGATTATTCCACCCCCCTCTGCCCCACCCCATGAGCCTTGGGGTCCTGACTGACCCAGCCCCTTGTTTCTCCCCAGCTTTGTCTCTGGTATCATTGGATACTACTACCCTAGTGACACGCTGGTGCAGGAAGACCATGAGCTACAGGCCTGGGTTGGTGAGGTCTTCACTAAAGGCTTCCTGGGCAGACAGTCCTCAGGTAAGAAATGGAGGCAGGTCCTCACACATGGCAAGTGACCTTGAGTGCTGCCTTCAGGGTCCCACCAGCAAGGCAGAGCTGAGCCCCCTGCCCCAGAGCCAGGACTCTAGATGCAGTCTCAGATGACTAGGCATTTGGGGATGTGCAGGCCAGAAGGTGTATGTAACCCAGCGATGAAACTTTCAGGATCATAGGCTGGAAACAGATGTTGTCTTTGTGTCACTGTAACAATTTTTATGGCAACACAAAGCAAAAGCAAAGAGATGTCTGTGCCCTTTGTCATGTCACGAATACCTTTGTTTGTGGCCAGGACAAAAAGTAGCAATAATATGTGCTGCTTTCACATTTATTTGCTTTATGGCAGGAGAGTGTGGGCAGCCTGGAGCATCCCACACTATCCAGCTGGCCCAGGAAGGTGTTCCTGAGTCTTGAGGAGCCCAGTCCTGTGTGCCCTGAGAAGTCCCAGGCAAAATCAGGTCTAGGAGAACCTACCTAGCTTTCTCCACTACGGAGACATGCCCCAAAGATTCCCAGATATGACTGGTACACCCAGGGTGGCTCTTGGGGCTTTTATTTTACTTAGAGAAATATAAGAGAAGCTAAAGCATGTGCCTCCAAACTATTGACTGGTTAGTTGGGATATTGTCAATTATGCAACTTGACCTAGAGCAGCTCCATCCAGCAGAAAATACACAGACATAGTTTCATAGTTGCTAGGGGCTGGAAGGGACCTTACAGATCATTGAGTCCAGCCCCACCATCCACCATCTCTCATACACTCATCATTATGATTCAGACCGACCTGCTCCTGGGATCAGAGTGCCTGTAAGTAGGAATATAGGGACACACACTGCACAGCAACAAGGGGTGAGGGTTGTCCCAGACTCCCCAACAGGACAATAGGCAACATGTGTGTTGCCTAGTGAAGGGGATCAGCTGTGGTGGAACACATCCTGGCACCCCCTGAAGTGATCCTAGTGACTCCAGGGTAACACTGGCAACCCCACTTATTTCAGTGATTTTGCTGTCACCCCGTCATAATATCTGTGTGCAAATATGAGTGACTCCCTCCCTGATCATGGTGTGTGGGAAAGGTGGCAAGGTAGGGGAGCACTTCTGGTGGGAAAGGTTTGCAAGAGGAGTGGGAAGATGGAGAGGGCTTGATGGCATGGAGGGGGGCCTCCTCCTGGTGGGAGTGTTTCCTGAACAGACTGGTGGAAGGGGAGCTCCTCTGTGTCCAACCCTAAACCTGTTTTCCTGGCAGGCATCCCCTCCTCCCTGAAGACAAAGGCAGAGTTGACCAAGTTCATGACCATGGTCATCTACACTTGCTCTGCCTACCATGCCGCAGTCAACAGTGGGCAGGTGAGTGAGGTCAGCCATATGCTGAGCAAGAGGCTGGGTTGGGGACTGTGCTCTTCACTCTTCCTTCCCTTTCTAGTTGTCTGCTGCTCCTTCCACTGCATCACCAGCCCCATTGCGCAAGTCCAGTGTCTTGGTGCAGTGCTGCGTTGGGTTTTAGCATTGGGGTTGGGGTCTGAAAGGTGTGGTGCTGGGAGGGGCAGTTTTATGCTGGCACAACATGTGCAACACCCAACCTGATACAGCCAGAGGTTGAGGAGGCAGGATTCCTGGGTTCTATTCGACCTCCTGGAGCCTAGCGCTTAGAGCAGAGCCCGGGGTCTTGGGTTACAGATCTAGATAAAGAAAGCAAGACAGTATGCATTTGCAAGGGAAATGCCCCTTTTCTTTTAGATTTCTTTAGCCCCAGCCAAGATCTAGGCCCACCACTACACCTAATCCAACACACCCTGCCTGAGATCAGATCCCAGTATATGCAGACACTGAAAGGTACCTTCCCCCATTTCAGAGGTATCACAATTTAAATCAGCAAAGCCCATGGCAGGGAAATATATTAGCTCCCATTTCACAGACCAGGAAAACTCAGTTACAGACAGAGGGAAGGAAAGATAATGAAGAGGACAGTGCGGGATCTGAGAGAAGGAAGGTCTCCCTAGGTCCGAGTCTCCCAGGAGGAATCCTTTATGATGCCTAATAGATCAGGGGTGAAGCAGGTGGCAAGAAGAGGGCTTCCAGGGGCAGGAGAGAGGTGACCTTGGTTCATAGCTCTCTCCTAGGACTCCTGAATCCTCCCTTGCCAGCTTGCTGGTGGGGTGGGGGGGTGGGGGTATAACCTCCTGGCCTTCTCTCTCCGGCACTGCAGTTTGAAATGGGTACTTTCATGCCCAACTTCCCATCCACCATGAGGAAGCCACCACCTCGGACCAAAGACCCAGTGACCCTGCAGGAGTTTCTGGACACCATTCCGGCAATGAACAGCACCAGCCTTGTCCTGTCTGTTCTGTGGGTCCTGCGCAATGAGAACCTGGATATGGTGAGATCTGGGATCATGGGACTGGGTCACCAACAGGAGGGCCAGAGATTTCTGGCCCTCAATCCCACAGTGCTGTGTTGGGGGCAGGGGAGAGGAAATTCCTTCTGCAATTCATTTCAGAGGCCATCTAGACATAAAGAGTAGCTCAAATCCCTAGCTGGTATCAAGGATCAAGGGCCAGCTGATGTGACTTAGACACCACTCTTCTGGAGTCAGTGGAGCCAAGTTTCCAGCAGGTGTAAATCTATCGATCTTGATGAGAATGCGCTCCTCGAGCTAACCCCATGCTCAGTGAGTCTGCCGCCTCTGCCTTCATTTACTGGTTGTCCCATTCCCTTCCAGAGATCCCTGGGCACATACCCCGATGAGCACTTCACAGAGCAGGAGCCGAAGCAGCTGATCATGGAGTTCCAGTGGCGCTTGGCCAAACTTTCTCAGGAGATTGCAGAGAGGAACAAGGGCCTGGATCTTCCATACACATACCTGGACCCGCCCAATATCGAGAACAGTGCTGCCGTCTGACCCCTCCATATGCTGTTGCTGCTGTTCCCCCATGGCTGACTGTCAGGGTTGCTTCCCTGCAAAGTACTCCCCACACTCCAGGGCAAACACTTGGATGAGTCCTATGCTTCCTCCCCACCTTGTTCTCTCACCTTTTTTATCAGTTCTACATACTGCCCTGCCCCAGACCATGCAAGTGGTCTTGCTTTGTCTGCTCTGTTATTTTTCCCCAGGGTGACTTCGTTTCTGTTGCAGATTCCTCATCCTCTGATGTATCCTCCTAGGAGGTCTGTAGTCAGGAGAGCCCAGCTGATATGTGCAGAACCAACCTCTGGCCTAAGGCAACTTACCACAGGGGTGTAGGTGGTTGGGTGGAGCAGGGGGGCATAGAACTTGATTTCTTTTTTCATTGGAGTCACTAAGGGTGCATACACATATACTAATTTGACTTAAAATAAGGTAACTTAACTAAGTTACCACTAGTATCTGGGGGAACGTTTGTTCACCAGAGCGCCCCAAGGGATGACGACTAGGTTGAACGGTCGTCACAAACTACTACAAGACAGTTTCAGGCTGGACATAAGGAAGAATTTCTTTACTGTCCGAGCCCCCAAGGTCTGGAACAGCCTGCCACCGGAGGTGGTTCAAGCGCCCACATTGAACACCTTCAAGAGCAAACTGGATGCTTATCTTGCTGGGATCCTATGACCCCAACTGACTTCCTGCCCTTTGGGCAGGGGGCTGGATTTGATGATCTTCCGAGGTCCCTTCCAGCCCTAATGTCTATGAAATCTATGAAATCTATAAGTTGTCTTAAGCAACATTGGGGCATACACACATACAGCTCCTTGACATGGTGGCAGTCATCTTGTGAGCAAAGTCGATTTCACTATTGTGATACAAGATAATGCACTTTGGAGGTATATTATCTTGCGCCACATTTAAGTTGACTTTGCTCCACATATGTGCGTGTGCTCTGACAGTTAAATTGATTTTAAAAAGTGAAGTTGGCTTAACTGTCAGAACATTAATATGTGTGTATGCAACCTAAGCTACCATAGGTTTAGAAGATTTCATAGATGTTTAGGGTTGGAAGGGACCTTAGTAGATCATCGAGTCTGACCCCCTGCCCTAGGCAGAAAAGAGTGCTGGGGTAAGGTGACCACAGCCAGGTGCTTGTCCCATCTCCTTTTAAAGACTTCCAGGGTAGGGGAGAGCATCACCTACCTTGGAAGCCCATTCCAGATGATGGAAACCCTTACCATAAGGAAGTTCTTCCTGATGTCTAATCTAAATCTGCTCTCTGTCAGTTTGTGGCCATTGTTCCTAGTAACGCCATGGGGTGCCCTGGTAAACAAAGCATCTCCTATTCCTTGCTGCCCACCCCTGACAAATTTGTAGACAGCCACTACATCCCCTCTCAGCCTTCTCTTACAGAGGCTGAAGAGATCCAGGTCCCTCAATCTCTCCTTGTAGGACCCTGCAGGTCCATAACCATCCAAGTAGCCCTCCTCTGGACCTTCTCAAGGTTTTCCACATCCCTCTTGAAGTGCGGCACCCAAAACTGAACACAGTACTCCAGCTGTGGCCTTACCAATGCCGCATAGAGGGGAAGTAGCACCTCCCAAACAATTTGTGATGCACCTGCTTATGCATGATAGAGTGCAGTTAGCTTTACTGATCACTTCATCGCATTGACGACTCATGTTCATCTTGGAGTCCACTATGACCCCAAGACCCCTTTCCACTGCTGTGCTGCTTAGGAAGTCATATCCCAGCCTGTAAGTGTGTTGGAGATTCCCTCTCCATTAGTGCTGTACCTTGCACTTCTCTTTGTTAAACTGCATCCTAGGCTGCTCTGCTGACTTTACTAACCTGTCCAAATCTGCCTGAATCCGTTCCTTGCCCACTCATGTGTTTACTTTGCCCCATAATTTGGTGTTGTCCATGAATTTGGACAGAGTGCTATCCTTGCCCTCATCCAGGTCACTGACGAAGACATTGTCCAGCACTGCCATGAGTGCACAAACAGGCCTGCCAGTGGTTCTGCTATGGCATTAGCCAATTCCTTCAGCACCCTTGGATGAAGATCATCTGGGCCTGTGGTCTTGAACACATCCAGCCCCTCCAAATGTCCCTTCACTAGGTTGGTGCTAACTGTTGGTGGGTTGGTATCCCTCCCGTGCCTGCATATATAGTCCAATTGGAACATTTGTCTCGATCCGTGTTCAGGAATACAGAGGTAAAAAAACTCGTTGAAGAGCTCAGCTTCATCCCTCTTATCTGTCACCTATATACCAGAAGAAGGACTTTTTGTTGTCTTTAATTTTTGTTGCCAGCCTGTGCTCCATTGCTACTTTGGCCTTCCTAACCAACTTCCTGCAAGTGCGAGCCAAGTAGGTATACTCATTCTTGATGGCTACCCCTTCATTCCATAGTCTGTTTGCCTCTTTTTTCACCACTAGGTTTTCCTGGATTTCTCTGTTCAGCCAAGAGGGTTTATTGACCCTTTGGCCCCCTTTTATGTGCATTGGAATTGTCCCTTTTTGTGCCTGAAGGATTGTTCCCTTGAGGAGTGACCACTGTTCCTGGACTTCTATCTCACCAATGCTCTTGACCTTCAGTGCCCCACTTACTAATTGCCTGAGCTCATTGGAGTTAGCCTTCCTGAAGTCCAGCACTTCTGCCCTACTGGTTATCCTTCCCACGTTTCACTGGATAGTGAATTCTAACAATTGGTGGTCGCTATCCTCTAGGTTATCCTGTGTCCACAGATCTCGCACCAGGTCATCCCCTGTAGCAAACCCCAAGTCCAGTAAGGCATTTCCCCTAGTGGGACCACATACCTGCTGTGTTAAGTGAAGGTCCTGTATGCAGGTAAAGAACCTACGTGAACGGTCATATCTAGCTGACTGATTCTCCCAGTAGATGGTAGGGTGGTTTAGAGCTGCCTTGGGAATTCCAGGTCTAGCTCATCGTCCTGGTGTGGCAGTCTGTAATAGACCCCCACGACCAAGTCCCTTTCGCCCAACCCCCTTGTATTCTGACCTACAGTACCTCAATTTGCCCCTCTTCTGATCCCTTGTTGATGATAGAGGATGTGTATTGATCCTTAACAGAGTGCAACGTCCTCCGCAACCCTTTTTCCCACTCTGTTACTTCTGTAAGCCTATAGCCCTCAATGCCTACTGACCAATCGTGGGTAGGGTCCTACCAGGTTTCACTTAATCTCATTTCCTTCTACGACCAGGTGACCTATCACCTGGACAAGGGAGAAGAGATTGATGTCATATATCTGGACTTCAAAAAAGCCTTCGATCTGGTTTCCCATGTTCACCTCTTGGTGAAACTGGCCAATTGTCGCCTTGGGTCCACCACGACCCACTGGTTGGAAAATCGGCTCCGTGGTCGGACCCAGAGGGTAGTAATTGATGAAAGTCACTCATCATGGTGTCCTGTGACCAGTGGGGTCCCCCAAGGCTCTGTCCTTGGACCCATACTGTTCAACATCTTCATTAATGATGTGGACACTGGAGTCAGAAGTGGACTGGCCAAGTTCGCCGATGACACCAAACTTGGGGGCAAAGCATCCACACCAGAAGACAGGCGGGTGATCCAGGCTGACCTGGACAGGCTCAGCAAGTGGGCGGAC